CACACACACACACACACACACACACACACACACACATATATATATATAAGGGAGAATATTTTTGAGATGTTTAGAATATTTATTCTATGGAAATTGCTCTTTTGTTATTGAGAATATAAGACAACAAGAGGTTGTGTATTACTATGATTATGTATGAAATGAAGTAAAGGAGCTTAGCAACAATAAACTCTATAGTAAATATAATAAACATTAAATCTCTGTACTGCACAGCTTTAATAACACAGGGGTGTTTAGAAGGACATGATTGTTCAAAATGTTTATTTTTTTAATGAACTTTCCTTGCATTAAGGTGTGCTCAGACTTTTTGGTTCATGAAAAATAAAATTGCTGTTTGATATAATTAATATTTTAATAAAATGCTATTCAAAAAGTTAATGTGTGTTGATATGTGTGCAGCATCAAACTTGTACACATACATTTGCAGTACATACAAAAAAAAAAACACTCCAGGCACACTGAAATGGTCCGAGTCCAGACCCCGGCTTGGTTCCAACCAGACTGCAAGACAACAGAGGCACGATTTTACCATTTACACAAAGTGAGCATGTCAAAGCAACGGAGCGGTTCACACAACAAACGATCAGGGCTGCGTTTCTCGATAACGAGTGATCTTAGAGCTTAAGAGCGTTTTTATTTAATTAATATTCTTATTTAGAGCCAAACATGCTTCATTCAAGCCCTTCCCATCTTTGATGCTAAAATGCTATTAAGAGCTGCAGATTACGTGGTTATTACAGTAGCAGAAAACATGGCAAGCGGCAAAATACATTGATACTTTTGCTAAAACACTGCAGAGCGTTTTAAAATTAACAATTGTCATAATTGGGAAAATGATTTGCAAATGGCAAGGAAAGACAGCAAACTTTGAAATTACTAGTTAACTTTGTTTTCTGCTCATGATGAGAGCTTTTGTACAATGTAATGTTTTTTTTGTTTGCTTTTTTGTTTTTTTGTAGAGTTTAAGCAAAATATAAAAATGATTCAAGAGGAAAACTCTGAACCCCCACACAGTTTCTTTTCTGTCACATGGCCTTTTGCCTTATGCATTTAAATGTAAAAATAATAGCTGATAAAACATCTGATCTTACCTTTTAATATTCATATATAATTGTGGTCAACTGATAATATATATATATATATACAAGTAAATGTTTTCACAGAAAAATTCTCAGATGCCACTGCTCTTTGGCTCTAAGGACCCAATATCCCAATATTTTGATGACTATTTTGACAGATTAGGTTTTTCTTTTCCTTTTACAAAGCACTACTGGTGCACAGATGGAAATTTATATATATAAATCAGAGGTTGCATTAGACTTTAACATTGGACAGGGTCGTAAAAATTCTGTCAATCTATTATTAACTGTCATTTTAATTATAATATTTTAATTATAATGACACATTTAATTGCTTTTAATTTTGTACACATTTTCATTTTTAATAATGAACCTACAGGACGAGCATATAGGCTTATGCATTTATTTATTTATGATGGGAACAGATTAACAGAGACTGCGCGTCACTTCTTATGTTCAACACCACACCAAGGCCATTAAAACCAAAAAAATATGCTAGGGCTGGGTAAAACAAAAACAAATCGATTTCTCAATTTAAATAGATTCTCATTTTTATGAACCAATATCGATTCTTAAATCCTAATCGATTCTGTTTTCAGCTGATGAATGAACAGTACATATAGTGTGCCTCCCATCCAATAAATTGCAATTGGCTAAGCTTTGTGCGTTGTTACTTTTGGTATGAATCAAAGTCTCAGATTTCAAATTCTGTCCATTTTATTAGGAAATTCAAGCAACAATTGCCATTTTAGCGCTCTTTAATGTGGCATGATAGATTGTTGTAGACACCTCAGACCAACTGGACAGGGGTGAGAATTACAGTTATAAATTACAATAGCTCACCCTCAGGGTAATCTGTAAAAGTGACGGACGGCCTTCCCTTTTCCGTCACTGCTAAAAAAAATCTTCAAATGACAATTTTTGGTTAACGCGACCGCTGATATATATACACTGCTCAAAAACCTTTTTAAACAGAGTATAGCATCAAGGCAATTCAACTCATGGGATATTGATCTTGGCCCGTATTCACAAAACATCTTAAGGCTAAAAGTAGCTCATAACTCGCAGATTTAGGAGAAAATCTTAAAAATAATGGGTGTGTCAGTCCTAAATGTAGGACTCAAATAAACGTTTTAGCACAAAAACTAGCTCCTAAATCTGTGAAACAATAGTAGTAGTGAAGAGGACTCCTAAGTCACTAAGACCAAGCCACAAACTATCCTAAAATGGCTGTTGAACCAACTGGACAGGGGTGAGAATTACAGTTATAAATTACAATAGCTCACTCTCAGGGTAATCTGTAAAAGTGACGGACGGCCTTCCCTTTTCCGTCACTGCTAAAAAAAATCTTCAAATGACAATTTTTGGTTAACGCGACCGCTGATATATATACACTGCTCAAAAACCTTTTTAAACAGAGTATAGCATCAAGGCAATTCAACTCATGGGATATTGATCTTGGCCCGTATTCACAAAACATCTTAAGGCTAAAAGTAGCTCATAACTCGCAGATTTAGGAGAAAATCTTAAAAATAATGGGTGTGTCAGTCCTAAATGTAGGACTCAAATAAACGTTTTAGCACAAAAACTAGCTCCTAAATCTGTGAAACAATAGTAGTAGTGAAGAGGACTCCTAAGTCACTAAGACCAAGCCACAAACTATCCTAAAATGGCTGTTGCTGGCAATCTGCCTCTGAACGTAAACATTTTAGAAACATTTGATGATAATAACCTTTTAAAAAGGTATCACCTTTGGTTTTGGAGGTTACCTCAACTCCTAATTTTCCTTTGATTATATCCTTGTTTTCATTAACCAGCTGGGCAAGAAGTAACAGCTGTTCTTGCATTCAGTTTTTTTTTTACATTTGCATGTATTACTGTCAGCCATGATTATTCTACTCTGTTAATCAAAAGGCTGTTTATATGCATATCCGCTATTTGCTTTTGAGAAGCATACATGTAAGAGGCTGACAATAAGCTGAACATATACTAATTTGTGATACTTATCCTGCATTTCAAAATCTTTATTTGAATGTGGCAATTAACATTTTTTTTGTTACTCTTGTACTTGTGAGTAATATCTACATTTGCTACTCATCTTTTCTGACTGTTTTTTCACTATTTTTGCATTTGGCTAGGGTCAGTGTCACTACTGGTAGCATGAGGCGTACCCTACAGAGGTTGCACAGGCAGTCTAACTCCTCCAGGATGGCACATCAATACAAACCATTGCCAGAAGGTTTGCTGTGTCTCCCAGCACAGTCTCAAGAGCATGGAGGAGATTCCAGGATACAGGCAGTTAACTCTAGGAGACTAACTCCCATTAGTGCTCTGCATTTATCCCACACGCACGTGAAAAATTGGGCAGGCTGGACAGGGCCGTAGAAGGTCCTTAACCCATCTGCAGGACTGGTATCTGCTCCTTTGTGCAAGGAGGAACAGGATGAGCACTGCCAGAGCCCTACAAAATGACCTCCAGCAGGCCCCTGGTGTGAATGTCTCTGACCAAACAATCAGAAACAGACTTCATGTGTTTGGCCTGAGGGCCCGACGTCCTCTAGTGGGCCCTGTACTCACTGCCCGGCACCGTGGAGCTCAATTGGCATTTGCCATAGAACAACAGAATTGGCAGGTGCAACACTGGCACCCTGTGCTTTTCACAGATGAGGGCATGTTCAGCCTGAGCACATGTGACAGACGTGAAAGGGTCTGGAGAAGCCGTGGAGAATATTATGCCACCTGTAACATCGTTCAGCATGACCAGTTTGGTGGTGGGTCAGATATATCGTATCGGATTCCTAGGACCCATCGTCAGACCCTACCCTGGTGCAGTGGGTCCTGGGTTTCTCCTGGTGCATGACAATGCCCAGCCTCATGTGGCGAGAGTATGCAGGCTGTTTCTGGAGGATGAAGGAACTGATACTATTGAATGGCCCCCACACTCGCCTTACCTAAATCCAATAGAACACCTCTGGGACATTATGTTTCGGTCCATCCGATGCTGCCAGGTTGCACCCCAGGAGCTCAGTGATGCCCTGGTCCAGATCTGGGAGGAAATACCCCAGGACACCATCTGTCGTCTCAGGAGCATACACCGATGTTGTCAGGTTTAAGGTTAAAAAAACACATTATTTTCCACATACTGTACATTATTGTTTCTCCTCTATGCCCCGCGTCGATTTTCACAAAGCTCATCGGTCTGAAAAAGCTAGGTGTGCTCTAATTGGCCAGCTATCCAGTGCGTTGTGATTGGCCGAATTCCTCAAACGTGTGATGGAAATGTTACGTCCCTTACCCTATTGTGATGCCTGTGGCAACCACATGTGACAACCCCAGGCTGGACGTCCACGGTGAAAGCCGATCCGGTGATGGACAGCCCGAAGTTGAAGTATGACGGAGGCATGACGATGCGATATCATCCTCTTTTGGAAGGCCAAACAAAATAGTTTCGTTTTCTTTGTGCTTTCACAACGAAGCACACAGCGCCTTCACGACATGGCGGCGGCGGCAACAATACTACTGCGAGAATAAAAGTTATGCCTTCCTTCTTTGCGTGAACATTTGGGCGGCGTTATGCAAACCTTCCAAGATAGTGACGTAGATATGTGAAAGTGACGTGACATGTGGCCAAGTATGGTGACCCATACTCGGAATTAGTGCTCTGCATTTATC